AACACCTCAGTGACCCCATCCAAAAAATTAACATCTTGCTCAGTTCATCCCTTGCTCTCAAGGGAGCTTTCCAGAGAAGAAGAAATCATTATCCCAATTTTATAGATGGAGAAACTGAGGCCTAGCGAAGGGAAATGACTGCCATTTGCTTCCCTCAGCCTCTCCGTGCTCAGGGGCTTGTCCACCAGACCAGACAAGAGCTGGAGTGGAAATAAATATTCCTCCTGATGACTGTGGTCTCTGTGGTCAGGGCTGAGGGTCGAAATGTTCGCACAAGGCCTGCACGCAGAAACCACAGAATCCCCCACAGCTCCACTGCACTTTATTAAAAGTCACTGCTTCTGTGAAAAATGGGGTTTATAAGAGTTAGGTGCCTTAATTATAAAGTCATGTGTGTTTGAATGACTCCCTCCCTGCTAACCATTTGTGACAGCCTACAAATGTGAAAAGTATTACCAAGCCTATTTTTAACGTGGCTATGGAGAGGCTGTAGTTGGGGAAAACCAAATCCTATGGGATCCTAAAAAGAAAGACTAGTGACTCCTTAAATATGGTTAACATTGAGTTTAGCAATGGTGCCAGTGGTGTCCAAAAGACCATTCGGATGCAGGAGTCTTGCAGAACGTGTTAAATAGTGATAGGAGCAAGGGATGTACAGGGCTAAATTTTCCCCTTGGAAGTAGCTGAATGGTCTTGGATAGAGACAAAAAAGTCATTTCAGAGACGTGCTAGCCCTTGTCATCATTTTTTGGGCTCTACAGGTGTTTTCTGCAGAGCTGTCACCTGTCAAGGATTTATTCCATTCTGTTCTTTATCAGACAATTTGCCCTCTAATGGGCTACACAAACTGCATGGGGTTTAATGCTTTGTAGAACAGAGTCCTTAATATAATTCCTCTGTGGATTGTGGCAGACTTGAGGCCTGAAGCAGCATCTTTATCACCCACCCTTGGTCACAGGCTCTGCAGGGGAAGAGGGAAACACACAAAGGGAAGATCCCTCTGGCAGTCTTACAGCATCCAGTAACGAGGGTTTCACCCCTTCTTATAACAGGACTGGACACTGGAGAAGGAGAGCAGGCCAAAAGCAATGTTGCTGTTAGAGCAGCGTCACAGTTGGGTTGAAAGGAAATGGAAGTGTTGAAAAGGAAATATTCCAAATAGAAGGAAGGAGAGAAAAAGAATGATGCTCCTTGTCGGTTAAAAGGTAAAGAGTAGGGTGTGGAAGATGGATAAAAAGATGACATGGCTGAGGATAAAAGTTTTTCTGTGGGTTGGGCTTAAGTGTGATGGACACCATTATGGGAATTTCCTGTGGTCAAACATATAACTAGTATTAGCTCTAACCCTATGATTCTTCCTCCATCCATGACTTCTCATGGGATTATATAGACCTTAATCTTGGTGTTAGGTCTTCAAAAAGTACCACTTCACCCCTGGACAAATCATCTTAGTGGTTAGCAGCAGTTGAAAATTTACAACTTTTTTTAGTCAACTGTGGTTTATCCCCATTTATCCACCACTGAATTATAGCAATTTCAAGTGAAAAATTATTTATCTCCCCCTACCACAGTATCATGAATATCCTATGCATATAGCCTGTAAATAAATGGATTCTTTACCATATCTTAAATAGATAAAAGACTGCATTTCTCTCAGTCAAGGCAGATTTTACACACTTAACTATCATATCATTTACAATACTTTAAAGATAAAGATCAAATCTAATGGTCGTGAGATCCCTCACATCATAGAAGCAGAAATAAAAAAATAAAAAAAAAATAAAATTAAAAAAAAAAAAAAGTTGGTTTGTTTTCAAGACTTTTCCATTTCTTTAGTTGGGTATTGTGAATGTGCATCTGAAAAGAACTTCTCCTCTTTGTAATGCAGACTGAGGCTGAAGCACACCTTACCCCTTGAAACAGCCATAGGTACCAAGCTGCCACAGTACGACCTGCAGTCAGACATAGCAAAATCAAAATGTTAGACCTTCATGCTGCACATTCCACGTGAGATTTCACAAAGCGTGGTAGATATAACGTAGTTTCCTGATGAGAACACGGAACAATTTTCTCATTGTTGTCTTGAAATGGGTACTTATTTTGTGAATAAAGCAAGCCCACAGTCAGGAGGCTCTGACACCTTAAGGCTTAGTATTGAAGGCTGGGTTAAATTTTCCTGTTTTCTTGCACGACAGATTTTAAACCCTGATTTTCACTGTAGTCACACTTGTCTGAAATTAGGAGTCTGAGTCAGGAGTTTGACATCTTGTCGTGGCAAAATCTGCAGTGCATCTAGAGACCTGAGGGCTCAGGGAGATAATACTTGAAGGCATGTAATTGGAAATAATAGGAAAATTTGGAAAAGGAGATGGGAAATCATGGGTTTTTCTGATCCATGGCTTCCCTGGTTATGTATCTTTGTAGGGTTTTTTTTTATTATTATTTGTTTGGTTTTTAAACCTAATAGAAATTCCTTTCCAGTGTAGACTGTGGATGAGACAGAGAAAAAAAAAAACTGCTCTGTGAAGGTGAACCACTGGCCATAACAGATGCTGTCTGACTTACAAACCGAGGCTGTGATTATAAGGCCGTGTTTACCACTGATGGAGTCAAATTCAAGTTGTTCGTGGCTCTTCACTGGAGATGTCACTCTCCAGAGCGACTCTTACATTTGAGAGATTGACCTGGAAATCTTCAATCTGGCTCCCTCCTCCCTGCTGCAGCCTAAGAAGCTGCAACAAGGAGACACAGCTGCCTTCCCCTATGTTCAAACACATCATGGGAGCAACTTGTGGTTCAGGAAAAAATATGTTAAAAAAAATGAATTGGCAAAATGATTAACTGTGCATTGCAGAGGATGTATCTGGTTGCAGAAAGCAGGAAGAGTTTGTTAGCTGTGACACGGTTATTTACACTTCCTTACCAGTTTGCCTGCCACAGTCTTCATCCCCCATGGGTATAAGAATGAAACACCTTCAGTGTGTCCCTAATGTACCTTTTGACCACCTAAGATAATAATAACATCCTGAGGGGTTGGTCATCAGTCCCACGTTTTTTATGAGAGGTGCTGTCACAGGGCACAGCTCTGGATAAACATGAGAGAGGAGCTCACAGTCCTACACAGGCAAGGCAAGCAAAGAGAGGAAGAGGAACAGGAGACAAATTGACTGGATTCAGGCAGGCAGGACACGGGTACCAGGCTGAGACAGGCATGGAGTCACATTTCCTGACTTGCTGCATTCTGTGCTGTCTCAAATGATGTAACGCTTCCTGTGGCTCTTTCCGAAAATATTTTCATAAGCTTTGGGTGATGTGCACTCTGCTAAGGAATTGCCTAATACTATGATCCCGTGAGGATTTGGAGCTTTAATGTTTTAAATCACTTCTAGCTGGATTAATTTCCTCAGATTCATATCATCCAGAATCAGCTATTATTGGTTTATTCCTCGTTACAGCTACGAGAGCGGCACATTGGTACCTGCCTAACAAAATATCAGAGCAGTTTGTTTTATTATCTTTAGCTAATGGTTGTGTACTGATCCCACAGTAAGATGATAGTACTGCAAAAGTAGAGGGTTTTGTGCTGAGCAAGTTCACAGGCACCTGTGTTTTCCCGAGAAATCTTGGAAAGCTGGGTTGTGCCACATTGCTTAGGTTTGGTCACATTGTAAGCTTTCTAATTTTTGGCTACTTCTGGTCCCCTGTTCCAATCAAAATGAGGCTATAAATGAATTTTAAATGTGGAGCTCATCCCACCCAGCATTCACACCTCAGCTTCTTGTCACAGGCTCCCCTCCCAGTCAGTGCAATCAGACACTTTCAGGGAGTGATCACTCTGACCTATTTTTATTGTCTGCTTTAATATTATATAAATTGCACCCTAAAGACACCTGTTTGTTTGTACTGAGCACAAAAAGAGAGTTAATGTAGTTGTCAGCATTGAAGCTGTCTGCACTTGATCAATGAATGCTGCCCTTCAAGCCATGTTTAAACTTATTTCTGATGGGATGCATCTGACAGATGATGTATGTCTGTGTGTAAGCTGGATATGTAGAATCTCTTCATAGTCAGAGCAAACAAACAGACTTTTAGGGTGGAATCTGTCCCACATAATGCAAATATCTGAAGCAGCTTAGTTGAACTGTTACTGACTACAGGAGGGAGCCCAGAATGACTAGAATGTAATTCTGTGGTTACTACATACACACGTGACACTAAATCCAGCCCAAGGAAAGACACATGACTTTTTTTATAGTGCACAGCATCCCACAGCTCTGTCTGAGACCAATGGCATTGAGCATGTTGGATAAACGTTGCTCATTTACATGTGTAAAGATTGATTCTGGTTTCTATCCACGCACCCACACTAGGAAACCTGGGCATTCAGTCATGCTTTTTTCTTTTGTTTTAACCTGCTATACTTTTGGTGTTACTGCTAAAATTTAGGAAAAAAAAAAAAGGAAAAAAAATCTGATAAAAATCTCCATCCCCCTACTCATAAGATTTGTTTCTCAGAGCCAATACTCATGAAAGAGGTTGTGAAGTTAGTTGATCAAATGAAGTCAGTGTTACCAAATAAAAGTATATTACATCTGCATGTTTTATACTTTGCAGGGTTTTTCATCCAGGGGCATTATCATCACAGTCATAAGAAGCATAAAGAATGGGGAGTGAAGAGTAGGGGGAAGAGTGAACCTTTGGCATTAACCAAGGGTCGTCACCAGATTGATTCTTCCTTTCTAGACATCCAGGTTTATGCAGAAGAAACTGGGGGTAATTCTACCCTATAACATAGAGATTATCCCAAATTGCAACTGCATCCAACCCTGTGTCTAAGGCAGACCTGTTATACCTTTCTCTCTAGCCGACTATGCCAGAGACATATGTAGCGCCAAGGAAATGGACATGCTGTTTCCAGTTATTCCCCTTGGGATGAACCCATTATCTGGTTTGAGTCTTCTGTGATGAAAAATTTTTTTTTTTTTTTTAAACAGCTGTAGGCCAAGTTTTGAGTGCAGCTGGGCTAGTTCATGGTTACAGATGAGCACTGTGTGAAACGGAGTGATTTCAACCTGAAATCAGGCAGAACACGTTGGCTTAGGCTGGATGTGCTGGGAGTTATGGAGTTCGTAGGAAACCAAAACTCAGAAGGGGATAAGCCCACAGAAACCAAAGCAAACACAGGGATTTGCAGGAGTGCCTACAAGCCAAACCATCACTGTTGGGTGAGTTACCCCACACCTCAGTCCCAGCAGCTTGGGCGTTCAGAGCCCCGTGGTGACCGCAGGTGCTCCCAAGGCACGTGGAGCTTTTCCTGATGGTGCCATCCAAGTGTTCCCCCCCACTTTGATGTTTCACTGAGTAGGATAAAAGAACACAACCATCTTCTCCAGAGATGAAGTATCTTTTTTGAGTTTCATTTTGATCTATCCATGTCACTTTTCCTCCTCTCATTGCTGCTCTGATCTTTGTAGCGCTTGAGTCCTTGATTCTGGTCCCACACGTGGCCATAAGCTGCCGAAATGCTCTTGCACTGTCTCAGCATTCCTGGTGCCAGCACAAGCAAAGGCATTTGTGTCTAAACCTTCACACCAGCCTTCTCTAGAGAACTCAGAAATTAAATGCTGCATCTGTGGAAGTGTTCAAGGCCAGCTTGGATGGGGCTTCAAACAACCTGATCTACTGAAGAGTGTCCCAGGCCGGGGCAGGGGGATTGGAACTCGATGAGCTTAAATGCTCCCTTCCAACCCAAACTATTCTATGGTTCTATTAAAACTGCTGCAAACTGATGCTAATTTAAGTCCTTATATTCCACAAAGTAACAAGTCAAAACTTTTTTAGCCATAATGAGCCTCACTCATCATAGTGCTACTCCTTGTATTTCTGGTTTTGCCCACAGAGCTATTCATGCATAAATTTAAAAATATTTTCCATTATTCAAGTTCACTTTCATCATTCAAGTTCATTGTGAGCTTTGCTTTTGTTTCCAGCATCGTTGTAGCAAACATTAGCTAAGATCTGCATTTGTCAGGTAATCAGATTCTTTAAAAGCAGTGTTTAATTGCTGTTTCCAGTCACAGCAAATTAAGTGAAGATACAATATGGAAAGGAGAATTTTCTTATGTATGCTACATAAAAATCATGATGGAATTATGATGACTACAGCTAATGGAATAATTCACCACAAATAATTTATTCAAATGTAGCCTTTTATTTCCTGCTGAGGGAATAGCTCTGAGGTAAGTGCAGTTTCCTACACCATCCTGGCTTGGACAAATAGCATTATGAACTTTTTTGCCCTCTGGCTTATTCATGAATAACAAAATTTGAGATGTGCTGGTCAAGCCAGTCACATGGTGCTATTCCTGTCTTCTTCATTGAAATATTGCTGCTGCAGCCTCCAGTACAAATATCCAGGTGCACATATTTAAAGTTCTGATCCTCTTGATGCTCTTCCACTTAGCCCTGAAATGTCCTGTCCCTACCTGTTTAGGCCTCTGAAGTCATTCATAGAAATGTCCAGATGGAAGCTGAACCCAATTAATTCAGAAGTAAATCATAACAAATATTCATTTAATTCAAAAAAAATCCCAAAGTCAGCAACTTATGTATATATGTGGAATGTGCCACACTTGTCATTGAACCAAAGTATGTGATGTCAAGTCAATCACTGGTGCCCAGATTTTACTCCTTGCTTTAACAAGAAAGGGGAATTCCATTCTTAATTAATTTTGTCATGATGGGCATAATCTTACATTGTACATTCAGACCAGATGGACTCCAACACCGACCTTCTTCACCAGGGAGGGTTAATGGCACTGCAGCTACTTAACTGTGAAATTTCCAGTCTGATGTCATCCATCACCAGTGTGTTACAATGCTTGCTCCAGACAGGGCTGGTTCCCCGTTATTGGGGTTGTCTGACACTTCCCATTACAAGACTCTGTTTTCAGTTGCTCAGAGCTTTGCCAAGCTGTAACCATTTGGATTTAAATTCTTCATGCTGAGTGTCTGCCTCAGGCTGAATTCATTTCAGAAAATGTCAGCCGAAATCAGGGAGAAAAAAAAAAAAAAAAGCATTAAAAAAAATCCGACAACCTTTCTGTGAACTGCTCTTTTGCCCTCCGTACTTTGCAGGAAGGACTTTACATATGGCAAACACACTGACCTTTGTGTCAAGGATGAACATGCACTGAAAGTCTCTAGGAAAACTCACAGAAACCCAAACTTGCTAAAGTCTCCAACCTTTTGCCAAGCTGCAAGGTGCAAAGCCCAGGTGAGATTTTTATGTCACTCACAGCGGATGTGCTTTTGTCTGGGCTGCTTCTGCCGCTGTGGGGTCCAAGAATGTTCTTCATCATCACCACTGAAAACAAAAGGAAAATCCTGACTTCTTCAGTCATTCTCATACCTGTAGGTACCTCATCTTGTCTCTGCTTGATCCATCCAGAGTTCAAGAAGTGCTCGGATGACACTGTCAGGCACATGGTGTGATTCTTGGAGTTGTCCTGTTCAGGGCCAGGAGTTGGACTTCAGGGATCCTTGTGGGTCCCTCCCAACTTAGGATATTCTGTGATTCTATGATTCTGTCATTGTTCTCTCTTCATCCATGTGGCTAAAGAGAAGCATTTTTATTATTTGCAGTATTTGTCATTCTAGATAACCCACATCTCACTTCCAGTTCTCACTGAATTCCTACGTTACTGGGTTACTAATCTACAGCTGCTGGCACTCCATTCTGCTCCTTTTTAGCAGTCTACTACTCCTAATCGTCAAGGCTGATGATCTAATTTTAGTCCTGACAGTGAAACTCAATGGAGCAGAATACACTAATGGGATCCCTGTATTAGTTAGCATAGCACTTCCTAAAATCCTAAAAGCACTGTTTATATTAATTGTCCTGAAGACACTTGAAGTAAATGGGATGAAGAACAAGAAATCGTAGTGATAAACAGCTTACATGACCTTCTCATAGATGGCATTTTGGCTGGGAAAAAGGATTTCATCTTTTTGCCGTGTCCAAAATTGTTGTGCTCCAGAGATACCCTTTGATATTCCAGATCATGCAATACACTTCCACATGAAGTTCAATATTTAGTTCAACCCTTTCATGTAAATCTCTGAGCTGGACAAATTGCAAGCGAAGGAAGTAAAAGACTTCCAGGAATCTGTTGTGAAAAGGCTGATGATTACAGCTGAGATTCCTTCTGTATGAGAAAACCATCCCTTGGCTGATGGTGTGGCTGCATCTTGGAACATCAAACACAGTGTTTATGTAAATCTGAGTGTTCTTCTGCTTGTTCTGCTGCAAAAGCCATTCTCTCTGGGACACAGAAGGAAATCCAGTGAGACAAGGTAATAGAGATGGAAGGCTGCTAATGGAAAGATTAGGTCTCTGGGCTGTCAGACTTGTCTCTCTTAAGCACATGTTTATGCTTTAAGTTAAATAATACAGCATGTTTATGCATGTGAATATATATATATACTGCATATGTATCTGAATGTATGAATGGTAAGATGCTGTTCTGTGCAAGAAAGTCACATCACACTAGTTTCACATTTTTATGTATTATATTACATTTCATTACATTTATATTACAATGTAAAAGGTTTCTGCCTTTCCCCAGAAAATGCAATCTTAACATTCATGCGCTCGTGTTCAACAAGCCTGTACACACTCAGGCTCTCGGAGAGCAAGTTGGTTTGGATGTTACCAGGATTTTCTTGCCCTGCAGATGGTTCCTGTGCCTCCTAGCTCTGAATAAAAAATGTCCTTTCCATTGCTTCAATGCTGGACTCAAGTCCTGTTGAGGGAATCAGTGGGTCAGGGTTCCCACTACTCACGATGTCCTTGTCCTTTTTTCCATAAAAAATTTTGTATGTTCCTGTCACTGTACTTAATAAACAACTTAAAAAAAAAAAACACCAAACCCTATCCATTTAAGTCCTTTCTACTTTACCAAGTCTTATTTTCCTGCACTTTGCAGACCTTGATATTACTTGCAGCAACTTGAACTTGGTGCATCATAACTGCACTTAGAGATCAGGTCTCTCCATTTGTTTCTCTTTGTAGGAGTAAGGATTTATTTCCTGGTTTGTGTCTGTGAGCTCTGGGACAGAATTACCTTCGTGTGTTTATTTTCTGTGACAGTCTTTGTAAAGCTCTTTGGAGATACTTTATAGTTTCTGAAAATAATAGAAAGGGAGGGGAAGGCGTTGATTGTGCTTCATCTTCTTCTTCATTGTCTTCCCACTTCTTTTGTTCCACCTTGAGGGGAAGAGAGGACACTAAAGGAAGAGCTCATGCCTCCCGCTGAAGCCTTTAACTGAAATGAGCCACATCTGGTGGGTATTTGTGGAAGCAATGCATGTCAGCAGAGTTTTCACAGTCCTAAGAGGAAATGGCTGAGTTTAGATGTGCTGATTTTATTGTATATTCCTGGATAAGATGATAAATACTGACATAAGAAGCCAGCAAGTCGATTTATTGATTTCAATTCTGCTTCTTGCTCTGTTCAGCTCTTCATGTGTATTTTTGGATGGTCAGGGAGAGTTGGAGGCAAAAGAGAAATTCCTCCTATGCTTTTGGCAGAGTGGAACTAACTAAAAACCTGCTTGAAAATTATACAGAAAACATCCAACTCAATATCTGCTCTTTATACTTCGGAATCCCCATAGTAGTTGCTGCCAGCTGGGGGTAAAAATTGTCTTTTTTGCTGCTTTCTCCAGCAGCAAATGCACTTCTCAATCCAGCACTGCCCATCCTGTCTCCCTTGCAGCAAACCTTAAACTAAGAATTATGATAGGAACTGATAGGTAAAGGGGCAATTTTCCATGACATTTCTATTGACTGTAAGTGAATTAATCCCAGTCAACCCCGTGCAACAGTGTCAAAGACTAAAAAAAAAGACTACAAGCTTAATCAGAAAACAATTTACATCTGAGTAATTGCTACTTTGATACTACTGTCATTACTCATGATGTTACACTGAGCAGTATTTTGACTTTCAGGGGTTGCTGGCTGGCAGAGGCATGTTGGGATTCAATGTGAGCAGGATAACCCCACCAGGGATCTATCAATCAGAGCAGAGCAAAGCCCAGGAGTTCTCAAAGACATCCAAATTGGCCTGCTCTAGGCCCAGCAGTGTTTTTATGAAGGAAGGTGAAGTTGGGGAGTTCAAAAGAGCCCTGTTTGCCTTTGTGTTTGACAAGACAAATAACTGGGATTGTGCTTGGAAGTGGTGAAAGCAAGCTCCACAGGGATTGTGGGCTCGCTCTTGCTGGAAATGAAGTTTTTTTGGAGAAGTGAGGGATGCAATCAAAGTCAGAGGTTGGGTTTGTTCCACTAAAATTGGGTTGCAATCCCTGCTCGCTTGAGGAACTTTATTGATGTGAGTAGTCCCACTGAGAGTACGAGTATTTATGTAGCTGAGAGAAACTAATGAAATGAACTCAAGTGAAAAAGGGATTGTTCACATGCCCAAGAATTGTATGACAAGGGCCCTAATCCAACCATTGTGGTTTAGAGATTTGCAAAATTACTTATTTTTGCTATTGAGTCTATGTCAGTTTTGCTAACTCTTCACACATTCCAGGCTCTCTCCTGAAATCAACCTTATTTGCTCTGAATTTCTGCTTCCAGGACAGACATAGCAGCATACTGACCTAATTCTTCAGGTTGTGCAGCTGTGTACTCACTATTTTAAGAGATAAATGGATAACAGTCTCTCCATTCTGCAGTGTAAATTGACCAAAGCCTCTTCATGTCAGTGAAGCGACATGAAGTTGTGAAAACTGAGAGCCTGGGGCTAAATGTTAACTGCAAAAAGACAAGGCAGCCATTGCATTGGACTTTCAAAAATTATTGTGACCTCACAGCATTTTCAGGTAGAAATGGTGATCTATTTTAAAAAAAACCCTATGTCTAGGTTGAAAGGACTTTGTTGATATTCACTGGGGTATCACAATACAGATCTTAGTGGGCTGCCCAGGGTCATCATGTTGTTCAAACTGATTTTTCTCAGCAGGGATGTTTTCTGCCTTTTCAGATTTTTTTTTATTTTTTTTTTTTATCAGGGTTATATTTTTGAAGGTGTCTGTACTCTTGTTGGCTGCTGGACAGCTGTATCACAAGGATTTCCCTCTGGTATAAAACACAGAGCTCTTCTGTATCAGTGTGGAATGCAGTAGCAAATCACTGTACAGTGGCCCATAAGGATACCAGCTACCCTTATAAACTTTTTATAACTTAGGAAAATAAACATGTGGTTTCAGGGCTCTGCATAGTCAGTGCTAGCTGAATTGGAGCTTGCTTTACGAAGCTAAAAAAGAAAATATTGGTAGAGCTAATAAATTTCCGAGGGAATCAGCGAATAGTGTTCTGAAAGGTCTGAAACATTTGATGGTTTATGGATAACTTTGTATTTTATCTCTCAAAGCATCATCCAAGTTGAGCACTAAAGTGCAGTGTTCTCTATAATGAGTGCTGTGATCTGGGAGCTCCTGTGGGACACCAGCCTCACATCAGGTTATCCATGGAAAGACCTGCTAATCCAGGGGATGTGATGTGCTCTCTGCAAGGCCAGCAGACGTGTCTCTCTCACTCAGGGAGAAAATAACTGGTCGTAGCAGCAGCAAGAAAGCAACCACATCTATGCAGGTATTTGGTAACTCCTTTTGTATTAAATAACTTTTTTTATTTAAATAAATCTAGTAGTTTTAAATCCCTAAGCTACTGGGGATGAGCAGAATTGGAAGGTGCAGTTTGTGATGATGGATGCCTGTCCATCAGGTTGTGTTCACTGTTATTGTGCAGCCCCACCTCTTTCTCTAGATGCTGTGTAAGCCACTTCCTCCCTAAAGAAAAAGTGGGGGAGGGATCTTTGGCAAACAGAGAGCAAAAAATAGGACTGTGAGAAGAACTCATGGCCAGGTTGCATGCCACCAACTCCACAGATTCTAAGAGTAAATGAAGCAGAGAAAAATTAAACTGGTGTGCAGATAAGTGAAGATGTGGAAGGCTCTAATTCCATCTCCTTCCCATGGGCTGTGAAGTGCCCTTACCAACACAGACTCTTGCACTGTGGTGTGCTGGGTGTGGGGGGGGTTCAGACCTTGTCTCCACACGTGGCAGAACTTGCATTTGACAGATCTGTTGTGTCTTCTCTGTTCTGAGCTGCAGCCTTTGCACATGAAAGGGTAAACTGTGCTCTGGCTTTTGGGAGGCTTTCCTGGTGACACCTTCACTCCTTACCTCAGGTGAACATTGCAGTGTGTCCTGCCATGACCTACTCTCTGAATTGGTGAGTGAAATTCCTGCAGATGGAGTTATTTGGTTTAGGATGAGAGACTGTTTATTGTGTGCCTGTGAACTTCTGGCTCTTGGTGGAGTCTCCCTGAACTCTTTAATCAGCAGTTATAATGGTGGGACTACAGGTCAAGGTGCATTTTGGGATCAGTCATCTGATCCCTCCTTTTTCTCAGGAACTACCCTTTCATTCCTCAGGAACTACTCTTCCATTTGTGACCCAGTCTTCACAGAAAAGCACAGTGACATGTCTTGGACAAATAATG